GGCTGCTTCATTTCCAAAGTCAATGATCAAACCATTGACCTTTGGTTAAGGATGGATGAGTCAATTCCACTCAACCACATTCCCTAGGTTTAGCAACTACAATAATGGTGTAAGTTGTATAGAGTATAGAAAAATAAAAATATTGTACGGGTGATAGGGAAGTGTTGTGATAAGAAAAAAAAAAAGTCTAAACAAAATTTAGATTTAATTGGGATGAAGTAAGAAATAAGAAATATAGATTATCTTTGAGAACTCAAGAATTGCCTAACACCATGGGTGGCCTGGAATAATTAAAATAGCTCATTCCCATTAATAATATTCTCCAAACAACATGAAAATATTAACAAATAACGAAATAGATTTATTTTCGGAAACGTAATTCCATTTCAGGTCTATTTTGTCAACTAAAGCTGGTCTAAGTAGTAAAGTTGATAGTGGGTAGAAGCCAAATGTGAAATTGAATGATGCAAGCAATTTGCAAGATTCCTATTCAAAAGGATAAGAAGATAAAGGTGGATATCCCATTATGCTTCTGCTGAAAATGCTCTATCAGAAGAATATTTTTTTTTTTTTAAATCAATGGAAAAATAAAATTAAAATAGATGGCATGGCTTCGACAATGTGTGTGAGTGGAGCCACGTCGGCAGCATATTGATACTGGTTTCCCCAAACGTCAAGTAATTTACATTTTTTTGGATGGTAAAGAAAAAGTATAATAATATATACATTTTTACAAAATGGCCTCTATATATATATATATATATATATATATATATATATATATATATATATATATATATATATATATATATATATATATATATATATATATATATATATATATATATATATATATATATATATATATATATATATATATATTGGTTCCTGTGAGGTCAGGTCTTCCCGTGCGGTCAGTGCGGCATACACCATTAGATATACATAAATGCATCATACAGTGTTCGAAAATACACCAGAATGAAATGCCAAAAAATACACCACACAAAAAAAAAAAATACACCACACATAATATATATATATATATATATATATATATATATATATATATATATATATATATATATATATATATATATATATATATATATATATATATATATATATATATATATATATATATATAGAAGAGTGCTCATATGCGGCGGGGTCTTACGGTGCGGCGGTGCGGTCAAATTCCAGAATACACCAACAGTGTTAACAATATGCACCAACAGTGTAATAAAAACACACCCCAATGAAATGTAATAAAACATCACAAAATACACCACAGACTCAAAAAAACACACCATATAACTCACCACCCCCAATGGTGTATTTCCGAACAGTGTATGGTGTTTTTACTCACACCTAATGGTGTGTGTTTGGTGATGCGGGGCTCTGTTTACTCTATTTTGTGTGGTGTATTTCCTAACGTTGATGGTGCATATTTGGTGAACTATTGGTGTTGCCGCACCGTAAGAAATAACCGCACCGTAAGACACTGCCGCACCTGAACCCGCCTCTATATATATATATATATATATATATATATATATATATATATATATATATATATATATATATATATATATATATATATAAAAAGAGCGCTCATATGTGGTCATGTCATTAGGTGTGGCGATGTGGTCATATCTGTGTCGTTGAATCAATTTAATATAACGGCAATGACTAATTCTGAGGATTTTCGCGCGTGGGGGTATTATGGTAATTACAGTGGCCATTTATAGCGACCGGGTTCCAGAATACACCAACAGTGTTGACAACATGCACCAATAGTGTAATAAAATACACCACAGTGAAACACACCAATAGTGTATTCCCGAACACTGTATGGTGTATTTATTCATATCTAATGGCATGTTTTTGGTGATGCGTACCTAATTTGTGTATGTTTTTTGTTGTGCATTTCATAACATGAATTGTGTATATTTGTATAATAATTGGTGCGGCCGCACTGACCACACGGGAAGGCGTTGCCGCACCTGAACTTGGCACCAATGGGAATCTACAAATACACCAGAGTAAGGCTAATAATGCACCAATTACACAAATAAATCATACAATAATGTGATTTTCCCTATTCCGGTGCCTTATGACGAGTTAACCCTTGTAGTTCGCTGGGTAGGAGAATGTGCGCGAAAATACTAGAAGAATCTTGATTAATGTGATTCATTGGATCTATCTAATCTAATGGCATGTAATTGACCATATGACCACACCTAACAACATGGCCACATGTGATCATCCATATATATATATATATATATATATATATATATATATATATATATATATATATATATATATATATAGGAGTGCGTTCAGGTGCGAACCGCGCGCCCAGGAGAGAATGTGAACCAACCAGCGCACGCCACGTGTCTAGATCTAGGTGCACCTATAGTTAGAAATAGGTGTACCTATAGTTATAAGTAGGTGCAAGGTAAAAATAGGTGCACTTGCAGGTGAAAGTAGGTGCACCCGATCAATGAATGTTAATAAGACAAAATTACATGCACTTGTATGTGAAAGTAGGTGCATTTGTAAGTGATTTTACCTATACTTTTTACTTGCATAGGTGCACCAACTACTTGCACATATAACACATTTACATGCACCACAGGATACGTGGCGCGCGCTGATTACTTCGCAGTTCTCTCATGGGCAGTCGTTCACACGAGATCGTGCCCATATATATATAGTCGAGTTCAGGTGCGGCCTCGTCTTCCGGTGTGGTTAGTGTGGCCGCACCAATAGTTATACAAATATACACCATCCATATTAGAAAATGCACAACAAAAAACATGCACAAATTAGGTACGCATCACAATAGAGTATCTTAATGACCGGCATATTAAATATGCCTTTAAAATTGCTTCAAGCTAAGCCAGACTTATTGTAGGTTCAGGCTTGAAAAAAAAAAGGCCAAAATACAAGTTTAGGCTTAGGCTCAAGCTCAGGCCTCAAGTTCTCATAGAAGGTGTAGGTCTAATTTTCCAAATCTCACCCCCACCTAGCATATTTTCATTCCTAGTGTTTTATTTGTACCTTATTTAATTTAATGTTGAATATATACGTTATTTACTATGGTACCGCTATTAAAATCTAATTATAATAGAAGAAATTTATTAGAAAGACTAATTGTTTTTGCTAAAAGCTAAATATATATATTTTTTGGAAAGCAATACATACTCCATACTATGCAGTATATTCAATGCATTTAAAAAAAAAATGCTAGATAATAATATTTGTTATCATCAAAATTTAAAATTTTATCTTCTAATATTTATTTCTTATCATCAAAAATTAAATTCTATCATCTAATATTTATAGGATTTGTGTTTATTTATTTATTTAATTGTTTTAACCATTTAATTTTATTAGCTTTTGGTTTTTCATTGGACATTATTCAATTGCACATGTTATGTGTGTGTGTTTGTGTGTATTAGATTAAATATTGTAGCATAATCTAAAAAGATGACAATTTACATAATTTACAAGGAGTTATGGTGGTGATGTGGTGGAAATTATGGTGACATGGTGGTGGGGGGGGGGGGGTGCTGTGGTGGTGTAAATAATATTCCGAAAATTATGTTGAAAAAAATGATAGCGAAGATAAATATGAAAAAAATAAAGATTTCAAAAAATGTACGTCTATCGACTAAAAATCTATGAAGACATTTCATGTTAAATTGAGTTTTTTATTTTATTTTATTGAAAATAATGAATATTTTCATTAAATACCTAAACACGAAAAATTTCAGAAAAGACTTCCAGAAACCATTTTTTTTGAGTTTCTAATCAGACCCTAAATGAAAATAATATTAGAAAATAATCAATTTAAATTTTGATACAAGAGAAACAAAGAGCTTTAATAAATGTAATTATAATTATAAACCATTATGTTTTAATTGAAAAATTATAAAAATATTCCGTATCATGTAATTATATTAAATTGAAAATGTTATAAAATATTTTAAAAAAATTTTACATGTAAAGCATTATAAATTAGATTAGAAGGCATGATAATATTTTTTTGCAAATAAAATAATAAATTTATTATCAATATTTATAAAAATAGCACATTCCTTATTCCTTGCCATAAAATAGTAGATATATTCAGTTTTCGTAGAATTTTGTAATGAAAGTCATTCATAAATTGTGACCGAAAGGCCCCACAGGAATGCGAATCTTATTATCTGACATAAGGATTGGGCCATTGGGGTCCACAATTTTTTATTTTTATTTTTCTTTTAGAAGACCACAAGATGTCAGCTCCTATGGTACTTAGATTAATTCTCTTATTTTCAAAAAGATTAATTCTCTTTTGTACGGAGTTGGCGAAGTGTTGGTTATATTAATTTTTCATATATAATAAGGGTTTTGAACTTTCGACATCTCTTAAGGAATGAAAGTGTACGGGCTACTAATTCTAACAGCTAGTTTGAGGTTCACTTCCTATTTCTTTCATTGAATTAATTTTATTTTTGGTCATAGATTTATATGTAACAATTCACTTTTAGTCCTTTTTTATTAGAAAATCATCATTTGGTCCTATTATTATTGTGACATGATCATTTTTAGTTCCCATTAAAAAATGATTGAAATGTCGTTAAATACAAAGACATTTCAATCTTTTGTGTTCAAAATAAGTTGAACTGCTATATTTTTTATATTTATTTTTTGAATATATCAATAATTGAAAACTTAAATGTCTTTTTATTTAACCATATTTAAAATATTTTGTTGATTAAAAGAACAAAAGTGATAATGCAACAATAATAATATGACCAAAAGTGGACATTCTAATAAAAAAGGAACTTAAAGTGGACTGCCACATATATATATATATATATATATATATATATATGACCAAAAATGGAATTAACTCTCTTTCATTCTATATTTCTATCTATACCTTACCCGACCCGTAAAATGAAGCCCGCATTCGTTGAGAGTCCAGTTCAAGGGATTCTATAAATACGCTGTGAAGCGAACCACACATAGGCTTGAAGAAGCCACTGAAGAAAAAGCATATTCAGACTTCAGAGCCTTTTTCTTCTTCAAATTCTTCTTTCTGAGTTCTCTTTTGTGTCTTCTAGAAATCGGATCAGTTTCTACAAAAAAATCTGTAAACGATGGTCGGTCCTTCTCCCACCAACATCAAATTCCTCTGTAGCTATGGCGGAAAGATTCTCCCTCGCCATCCTGACGGCAAGCTCCGTTACTATGGCGGCGAGACCCGTGTACTTTCCGTCGAGCGCTCCATTTCTTTTGCCGGTAAAACCCTTCATTTCATTCGTTAGTTCAATCCTTTGGTTCATGTTATTTGTCGCTTCGTTGGTTTTCTTCCATCCGATTAAGCGTTTTAAAGTAGTTTTGAGAATTTGAACTTTTTTTTATTTTCCTGCAATTTTTGGATGTATTGTAATTTGGATTGGTTGGGGTCTGATTAAATTCTAGGGTAGGTTGATTTTACTGTTCTTGATGAGTGATTTTGCGTTTTTAATTACGCCCGCCATCTGTTTGTGTAAATGTCTCATTCACGCCTAAATATGCTAGTACTAGTAAAATTCTTGAGAGTGAATTGGGTTTGTCGTGATGTGTGTGGTTACAGAGCTGTTGGCGAAGCTCGGAAAGATGTTTGGAGCTGGGGTTAGTCTGAGGTGTCAACTGCCAACTGAAGATTTAGATGCACTGGTGTCAATCACCTGTGATGAGGATCTAATCAATCTTATTGAGGAATATGATCGATTAGAGTCTCCACCATGCTCTTTCAAGATAAGGGCCTTTCTTTCACCACCCAAATCCAACAAAAGAGCCTCTCCTTCGCCTTCATTTGGTTCTTTGTCTACCACCAATGATGCTTTATCACCAAAGTCCTACTCTGCTTCGAGGTACTTTGGATCATCTAGTACTAAGAGGTGTGCCTGTCAGATGTCAATGCCCCCTATGGTGTTTCCCCCTTGCCATAAGAAAGCTGCTGCAAAGCTTCCTCAGTATGCCTACCACCATGGTCCTGGAAACACTGGCCATATTTATTTGATCCACCATGGCAACCACTGGCAATAATGGAAGCTTGTGGAGAAAGGAGGCAAAATGATATTGAAGTATATATACTACAGAGTACTAAATTAAATCATACGAATCAAAGAAATTTGGAGCACAAAATCCAAAAAAAAAAAGAAAAAGAAAGCTCAAAAGAAGGATGAAATGATGATAATGATATATATGATGTAAGAAGTGCATGTAAATCTTTAAGAAGGGATTGGTTTTTTTTTTGTTAATCCATCCTCCAGCAATTAATGGAAATATCAAATATGAGTCCAACTTGATTTTGGGATCTCCCAAGTGTAATGGTGAGTGATTGCTCATCTGTTAGTGTGAGGCACACCTTTTATTTTCTTGCCAGGCATTCCTTTCATTTTTTCTTGGAAGCTGATTAAATATAGCTACCAAAACTATCCATGTTGTTTCTGTAATCCTCTTAGCTATGGCTTATTTCTTGCCATATCCATTATATTTGACTTGTCAAATCTCTTGACTTCTTTTGTGTTTCCCTCTCCTCATCGCATGACTTTTTTGAGTGTCATGCATATTTTAATCAATCCTTAGTCCTCCATCATAGGTTTTGTTCTTTTTCAAGCTTTTGCTTATATGATCTTTCTCGCCTCCCTACCCCTCACCCATCACTTTTTTTGGTGTCTAAGCCAGACATTAGCTTACATGCTTTAGTTTATGCTTGTATGTTCATTTCCATGAATTGCAACATGTTTAACTGTTTATTTTCTTTGGTCTAATTGTTTGTTTATGAATTGCAGCCACTTGAAAGTTTTGACGTTCACTTTGGTACGTACAACAATGAAAATCAGTATTATGTCAAGCTCTTCACGATACAGGAGGATGGTATTAAAATTCTTTCTACCTTTTTAAACAGATTTCTGTAATATTGTTTATATCTAGGGTCCAAAGGTTTTGCATTTGAATTTCCACGGGTTTGAGGCCAAAATGGCCGATGCATTATAAATAACGATTAAACCCTTGAATCTGAAATATGTAATAGAATAAACCCTGCCTTCATACTCGTCATCGTTTGATAAAATCACTGCTACTTCTTTCCCCTTGAGCAGGTGGTGAAGGCATTTTGTGGATAAAAACCTAGATTGATAGTTTTACAAAATTGTGAACACCAAGGAAATTTAGGTGACTTATTGATTTAAAATAGTTATTGGCTCCACTTGATATATAGGGATTAGTATGGAATTGAATTCTGACTTCAGTCTATATTCCCATTCTTGTTCCCCCACAAAATCCCAATTCATTAAGAATTGTCATTACAGTTCATACCAATTCTCTTTTTTTTTTTTTTTTTTTTTTTTTTTTTTTTAAGGGGTTGGGGGTGATGAGGGAAACCCGCAGCCGCTACTCGAGAGTGTGCACGGGGTAAACCTGGTTACCTGGCTTTGTCACCCTAGTCACCACTCACCACCACAAGGAGGTAAACCTGGGAGGTAAACCAACCTAGGTTGTCCATAGTTGACTGGCTCAAACCAAGATGGCTGAGATTCGAACTCGTGACCTTGTGGTTACAAGTTAGCCATCTTGGCTGGGGTTACCCCACCAACTCCCTTTTTATTTGCACTAAATGGATGTTATAGTGATTTCTACATAAGAATCAAAATATATTTTGATTGGATCAAATTCCCTTTTCACATTCTTTCCATGTGTAATCTGCATGCCAAAATGGATCCCATTTTCCTTGAATCACCTTGGAAATGAATAATGATATCCGCTTGGCTCTATTTTGTCTAAGTGTGCCTCATTTCTGCAATGATATTTGTTATTTCTGATATTGAAATAACCTGGTAATATTCATTGGCCAGCTAAAGTGATAGTGGTGTTCATTTGATGCCCTGGTTCTATCAACTACAACTACAACTACAACTACAGGAGGGAAGAAGAGCTGTAATGTAATGCCAGAGAGCTAATTGGAATTATTGGACGTGGCCGTTACAGGAATATGAAAAATGGAGCTTTTCCCCCCCTTATATATTACCCTTTATTTGAGCTTATGGGACCATGACAGCTAGTGCTTGAAGGGACAAATTATTTCAATTGCAAATTTAGTCAAAATATAATTTAAAAAACAATTATAAAAGGAGAGAAAATACCTGGAAATTGGAAAAGAAAAGAGGTTCCATGTTGGTTAGGATGTGGAGGAAATGGGGCCCCATAGTCACATCCTAAATTATTTCAATTGCAAATTTAGTAAAAATAATTTAAAAAAAAAACAATTATAACAGGAGAGGAAATGGCTGGAAATTGGAAAAGAAAAGAGGTTCCCTGTTGGTTAGGATGTGGATGAAAAGGGGCCCATAGCTTAATATAGGGTGACTATTGACTCGGATTTTGCCACTCACGTAGCGTTCAAGATGTAGGCAGAATGAGATGTATCAAATGAGGATACCTAAAAGGCTAAAAGTGTAGTACTCAAAAGATGAGGGTACTTAAAAATAATTATGGAGTAATGTTCTAAATTAGTCAGACATTATTATTGTTATTATTATTATTATTATTATATTATTATTATTATTATTATTATTATTATTATTAGTAGAGTATGTTACACTTTTTGTCTTTAAGTTATATATATGGTAATATGATGATAATTGTAAGATTTGCTTTTACTATAATTGATGTTGCAAATGTTGTCATTTTTCTAACATGTCATGTTCACTTCTCGTTTGGTAGCTATAATTGATGTTGTAAATTTTTTTCCTAATGTTTTCTTAGAAAAAGGACAAAATTTGTAAGGTTAGTTATTATAGGCTTATAGCTTAGGAACGAGAAATGAGCATGACTAACAAATAGGGATGGATTCTAAAACTATTCTATAAATTAGGGATGAGAAATGCATTTTTTCCTTATTATTATTATATGGTGAGCTAAGGTATTTATATAAAAAAAAAAAATAAAAATGGTTGAGGGATGGCATTGTCACCATTGGTTGATATTTTTCTCCTCCTAAGAAAAGTATTTATCCCATTAACGCAATTCATATATTCTCTGAATTTGGATGGCCGTCTGCATCATGCAACCGACAAATTATATCGTGGATTAGGTCCACCGTGCAATATTTTGATTCAAAATGATGTCTTTTTATATTGATTAGTATATCAGGATAGTTATGCTGTGCATCCGTATGCATCATGCATGGTGCATACGGATGCAAAAACGATGTCGTTTTATTAAAAATGCGCGTCACTCCTTAAAAAAAATTCAGGTTCGATTCCTATCAACAGCATTATGTTGTTTATTCATTCTGGAATTTTAGTTCATAGATTATGGAATTTTAGTTCATTGATTATCGAATTATAGTTCATCGATTCTGGAATTGTAGTTCATCGATTCTGAAATTTTAGTTAATAGATTCTGGAATTTTTGTTCATTCATTTTGGAATTTTTAATTCATAGATTACATTCTGGAATTTTAGTTCATAGATTATGGAATTATAGTTCATCGATTTCTGGAATTATAGTTCATCGATTCTGGAATTTTAGTTCATATGTTGTTGCAAGGAATCGAACCTGAATTTTTTTTTTTTAAAGGGAGACGTGCGTTTTTAATAAAACGACGTCGTTTTTGCATCCGTATGCATCATGCATGGTGCATACGGATGCACAACATAATTTGCCAGTATATCATGTTTAATAACACCGCCTTGTAGTATCTATGTTTATAATGGGCCCTAGGATTTGAAAGGGTACAGAGGAAGAGTAGATGCCAAAAATCTTATGACGTTTCTCAAAACTAGATGTGAGTGTTATCGAAAAATAAAATTACCCATAGATAAATTCTTTTTAAAAAATAGTGAAAAGAACACATTGTGGCTGCCCCAATTCCATCTCACAGATCCCGATATGACTCTCATCCTCTATTTTCTCCTTTCGATCTTTCTTCCTTTTGCAACTCCTAAGCTAGCTCTTATGAATACATTTGAGTCTCTCTTTCTCTCCCTTGTACTTCAAAATCCACTTATGGAATCATAATTAGGTGCGAATCACTGAACCAGTAAATTATTGAAGATTGCACTGTAACTATTATGTGTTAGCACTGCAACGACCTCCAAATTATAAATTTGCTTGGAGTGCAATCATGCAGTAAGTGCGGTACAGTTTTTTAGTAGTTTGTAGGTTTGCACGTTATATATACTTGTAAAAAGTGTGGACACATTCATAACAACAATCATGACAAATTAAAAGCTAGGATTTTACTATTACTAAATTTTCAAGTCTGCAATAATTATAAAATGAATCTCGTTCTTTAAATTTTTTAATAATTATAAAATCAACACTGAATGCATATTAAGCATGTGTTGTGTGCAACATAAGGACATGCTTAATATGCCTAATATGCACAGGCATTTTTAATTCTCAATTAATCTAATCCATATATTTATTTTTTTTAATGGATAAGATTAGTTCTCATGAATTCATGAGGAGGTTGGTTCTCATATGATATATATATATATATATATATATATATATATATATATATATATATATATATATATATATATAGATGTGTATTCAAATGAGGACAAGTATATTTTAGAGGACTGTGAGGACAAATATAGTGTGTGCCATTAGCCGGTATGTCGTGTGCATGGCCGAATGTAGTCGTGTGCCACAGTTTGTATGTCGCGTACTAGATTTGTTAATTTATAGAGCTCGGGTTCGAAACCTGATGTTTACATTTATTCTTGTGTGCCATTATGTATTAAGTTGAGTGTCTGGTATTAATTTGTTGTGTGCCCATTATTTGTCCTCACAGTCCTCTATATATTGTTGTCCTCATTTGAACTCAACCCTGGGGAGCCTTCAAGTAAGAACCCTTTGTTAGGTAGGAACGTGAGAACTAATCTATCTCATTCAAATTTGTTTAATCAATGGTCTAGATTATTATACATTTTTATGTGCATCTTACACATAATTAATTAAAAAGGATATTTGTGTAATTTAGTCTAAATTATAATTTTAATAAAATATTATATTTGGATTCTTTCCCAGATTTTAGGATGAGAAGATAAAGGAGGAGTCCTAATGTTTTTGGTAACATTAATATTTGACCCTATATACCTGTGGATACGTACAATTGGGATTTATTTGAATACATCCATTCGTGCTGCTGTGTGGAAGCATACAAGAGTGGTTTGGGCATTTGGTTGTAGTCATGTTATGATTATGTCATTTTTGGGCATTACCCTGTACGGTACGGCACACACTGAATCACGCAAGTGCACAACGTTGTGTTGTAATAAATGGGTTTACGTGCTTTCATTAGGTTAGTATATTAGGTGGGCAGTACGGCATAAATAGCACAATCAAAGTGCACACTTAAAGGTTTTCCATCTTGTCATAGACACACAAATCCTGCATATTATGGCACACACTCTGTTACCCAAGTGCACACCCCTCCATGTCATATCCACAAACACCAAGTTGATGTTCTACCTTTTGGTGTGCACTTTCAGGGAAATTGCAGTGCCATAACGTTTAGACTGAGAATGGAAAGGCGAATCGGTAGTTGGTGTGCACCTAGGTCATGCTTTGTGTGCCAAAGTGTGCAGTGGTACTGACAGAGACAAACGTCAAAAATCAGGATGAGGTGCTGCACTATGGTGTGCACTTGGGTTTCACGTGTGTGCCATAATGCCCATAATTAGGTTCTGCACTTAAAGACATACAAGAAGGAGGTGTGCACATGGGTTGCACCATGTGTGCCATACTGTGAAGCGTTATTGTGACCATGTACTGACGTGCACTAAGGTTGATCTAAGCGTGTCATCATGTGCTAAAATTTTACTAGATTGAATCCACGGAGATCAGGTTCATGTAATACACTCCGGTGTGCGCTTACGTTAACATGTCTGTGCCATTACGTAGAGATTGAATATGTCATAATGCACATAATTAGGTTATGCACTTAAAGCATACAAGAAGGAGGTGTGCACATGGGCTACACCATGTGCACCATACTATGAAACGTTATTGTCACCATGAACTAGCATGCACTAAGGTTGACCTGAGTGTGTCATCATGTGCATTCTTCTAGACTGAATCAACGGAGATCAAGTTCATGTAATACACTCCGGTGTGCAATTACGTTAACATGTCTGTGCCATTACGTGGAGATTGAGTGTGTGCCTTATTGCAATGTGTGTGTCAAATTGTGCAATTGTATCCGTTTTGGTAAGCACTTGGATTACGCAGTGTGTGTCATTTCGTCCAATAACACTACAAAAATGAATTCACAAAAACTTTTTTGATTGTAAAGAGTATGGTGTAGACACAACTAATCCTGTTTGGGCCAAACCATATAGAATGTGTGCACGGATGAAAAGAGAAAAAGAAGATGATGTGCACTTATATTGAATTGTGTGTGCCACAATGTGCCATAATACTATTACGCTGGAACATCAGAACCCATGATGATATGATAGCTTGGGTTGTGCACTAGAATCGTGTTAACGCTGTGTGCAACATTACATCAAAGCATCATTCGTAAGGAAAAATGGGCCAAGAAGTAAAAATCAACCAAAAATTAGCTATCATATCTTATAATCAGAATACATGAATGTACCTAAGTGAAGTAAAGTACTGCTCAACTAGCTACAAATGATCACACGTTGCTAACTTTAATTGAAAATGGGATGCCAATAGCAATCAAATTAACCAAACAAATATTTTTTATTACCAGAAATCAAAATCCATCCCAGTTCATATGTAATTCATTAACCCATTTTATCAATCAAATTAAATGTTCTTAATTCCATTACAAAATCAAACACCAACTACATCTTCCAGTATATTTTCAAACTCAAAGCTAAATCCCATGGACACAACTAAATTCCCATCCCCTTAATAAGCTCAAAACCTCATGCATAATTATATTATCTAATATGCAACGGTTACGAGTACACATATTGATTTGTCAGTACGAGGAGTTTTAGTTCAGTTTGGGGGCATGGTTTGATTATGGGTTACAGGTCAGTTTGAACTGATTTTTAGAGTTGGGGTTTGTCGTAAAACTCTATTTTCGGAGTGTGTTTGCGTCTTCAACTATAGCCAGAGACTTGCGTCCTACGCGGTAGGGAATTGCCGGTGCAAGTTTAGTGCCGACGAGGTGGCTGCGCGATGGTGGCTACGGAGAAGAAGAACCAATAGAGAATAAGAAGGTAAATAGAAGAAGGAAAATAGGAGAGAAAAACCGAAGACAGAAATATTGATCAATTATAAAGACTAAAACACCCTAAATTTCCCTAAAATACGATAATTTCAGACTTGAAAATAAAACAAATCAACTTTATGTTTAATCCATTGATCATATTTATAAATGGTTAAGATGAGTTCTTAGGTTCTTACCTAAAGATGGGTTCCTATATGATTGTTAATATATATATATATATATATATATATATATATATATATATATATATATATATATATATATATATATATGGGGAAGGGATCAGGT